TGGCTCGGTGCCTGTGGCTCAAGTGGCTAAGGCGCCAGCCACATACAACTAAGGTGGTGGGTTCAAATCCAGCCTGGGCCCACCAAAACAACAATGATGACTGCAACCAAAAACTAGCCAGGGGTTGCAGTGGGCACCTGTGGTCCCAGCTACTTGGGAGGCTGAGGCAGGAGACTCGCTTGAGTCCAGGAGTTGGAGGTTGCTATGAGCTGTAATGCCAGGGCACTCTACCCAGGGGGATAGCTTGAGGCTCTGTCTCAAAAAAAAAAGAAAGTACAGTTCTAAAATTCACATGGTACTGTAGAAAACCCACAAATAGCCATGGCACTTATGAGCAAAAAGTACAAAGCTGGTAGTATCATATGACCTGATTTTAAACTATATTACAAAGCTAGAGTAATTAAAAATCATAGAACTGGGGGGAAAACAGACACATCAACAAATGGGAAGAATAGAGAACCCATATGTGACCTCAAATGATACTTGACAAAGATGCCAGGAAGACAAGAACAGCCTCTTCCATAAATGGTGCTGGGAAAACTGGATTTCCACATGCAGAAGAGCGAAACCAATACCATCCTACCATATACAAAAGAATTCAAAATGGATTAAACACTGATGTGTAAGATCAAAAGATCTAAAACTGAAAGAAGACCACAGAAGAAAAACCACACAATGTTGGTGTGGTGATGATTTTTTTGGATTTGACCGAAAAAGTGCTGGCAACAGAAGCAGCTATAGACAAGTGGGATCACATCAAACTAAAAAGCTTCTGCACAACAAAAGAAACCATTAGCAGGGTACAGGGATGATATATGGATGGGGAGGAAATATTTGCAAGCTGTACATCTGATCAGGGATTAATATCCTGCATATATGAGGAGCTCAAAGAACTCAATAGAGGGAAAACAGAACATCAATTTAAAAATGAGTAAGATTGAAAGAGAAGGGGAGAAGAGCCAGATATTGTCGTAGGCACCTATAGTCCCGGCTACTTGGGAGGCTAAGGCAAGAGAATCGCTTGAGCCCAAGAGTTAGAGGTTGCTGTGAGCTGTGACATTACAGCACTCTACTGAGGCTGACATAGTAAGACTTCTGTCTCAAAAAAGAAAAGAAAGAGAAGGGGAGAAGGAAAAAATGACTAAGGGACCTGCATGGACATTTCCACTGACTTTTTTTGTTGTTGTTTGTTTTTTGAGACAGTTTTACTTTGTCACCCTAGGTAGAGTGCTGTGATGTCATAGCTCACAGCAACCTCAAACTCTTGGGCTCCAGTGATCCCCTTACCTCAGCTTCCCAGGTAGCTGGGATTACAGGTGCCCACTGCAATGCTCATCTATTTTTAGAGATGGGGTCTCAGTCTTGCTCAGGCTGGTCTCAAACTCCTGAGCTCAGGCCGTCCACCTGTCCATGTGGCCTGTACCCAGAGTGCTAGGCTTACAGGTGTAAGCCACTGTGCCCAACCTGCCATTAACATTTTTAAAGCCATAAATATATTTTGGCACAAACACTGTGTATATGCAATCATTTTTTGTAAATAATCTATTGTGAAGCCATCAGATAGATGTTAAGAATGGTTTTTTTCACCTGAGGATATGACAGGAAAATGTTTAAATCAATACATGATCCTCTGCCTGGTGCTGTTAATCTTGGAGGTTGCTGCACAGAGAGCAATAAAGGACACTTATCTGTGCTTGCAGATGGGGCTGGATTATTTGAAACAATAAAGTTGTTCATTGGCAGAATTTCCTACCAAGTTAGTATAGATTAAATCTTATTTGGTAAAAGATAGCAAAAATAAAGTTAATTGTGTTTTTTTTTCCTTTTTAATATTTGCTTTAAGAGAAAAATCCTGAGGCTTGCAGTGATTCCTGATGCCAGGAAGCCTTGAGCTGCGAGCATAATTAGCAAGCAGGTGACTTAGCTCTTGGTAATTGGCATATGTGTGCTTATGGTTTCCATTCCAGTTGTTTAAATCAAGAGATTCTTGATCAGGCTGGACACGGTATGAGTAGATCTCTTTCCATACAAAATAAGATGGATAAGCTTTTGGAGGATGGTCTTGCTGAACTGGCAAATCAGCTTCCTCCAGATGTCAGTGATTTCCCCAGTTCTTCTGGGACATCTTAGGATCACAAGAGGAAGTGAGCCTGGCAGCCTTGGAGGTCTGTGTGCTGATCCCCCATTTTAATAATTAATGGATTTTTCTCTGGGGCTTCAGTCCAACACCACTCATGGGTGGGCTTCATCCCAGCACTGTGCCAGGCCACGCAAGGAGGAGGGCCTTCTTCCTGTGTGGACAGGGCAGCTGGGCCTCCCTGGGCCACATGCTGCCAGATGCAGGCAAGGAACAAGGTATCCAGTGGGGTGGACATGGGGTCAGTTGGTCACCGCCAGGCTGAATCCCAAGTTCCCAAGTGCAGCAGTGGAGGGAGCTCTGCCCAGAGTCATGGAGGGCTTCTCAGAGGAGGGGCTGGCAGAATCAGGCCTTGGCTCCTCCCAGCTTTCTGAAAGAAGATGTAACCAGGAGGCCAGGACAGGGGTTCACCAACCTCCACAGTTTTCAGTCCTGAGTGCACCTGACTTGCCCATGAAGTCAAGGTTCCATCTGGGAAATTGTCCCCTGAAAACTGTTCAGTCGGCTCGGCGCCTATAGCTCAACCAGCTAAGGCGCCAGCCACGTACACCTAAGGTGGCGGGTTCGAATCCCCAGCCCGGACCCGCCAAAACAACAATGACGGCTGCAACCAAAAAATAGCCAGGCGTTGTGGCGGGTGCCTGTGGTCCCAGCTACTTGGGAGGCGGAGGCAGGAGACTCGCTTGAGCCCAGGAGTTGGAGGTTGCTGTGAGCTGTAATGCCACAGCACTCTACCCAGGGGGACAGCTTGAGGCTCTGTCTCAAAAAAAAAGAAAACTGTTCAGTCAGAACAGTCAGCTCATGTGAGAGCTGTGAAGCAAGCCACACGGGACAGAAGGCTGGACCTGGCCACTACATCTCACATGTGCTGGGGACAGCCCCTGCTGCCCCACTGAGCCCTCCGCTGCGGGGCCTGCGGCCTCCTGTCACCACCCTCCCGCTCCAGGAGGCGGTACTGTGCAGGTTTTCCTGTGACTTTTGAATCTTTTTGTACATGAAATCCAACCAATTTTAGGGAAGAACAGTTCCTTTGTTCAGTTCTGTCAGTTTTTCTCACCAAACTGCACGTTAGATAAGGAAACCTCCCCTGGCCCTGGCAGTAAGACCCTATCACACTTGCAGAGAGATTCTGGCAGCATCCATGTAAGCAGATGAGCCCACGCGGCCTGTTCCTAGATAAGGAAGATGGGGACAGGTGGTACATTCAGGGATGGACGCTCTCTGGGAGAGATGGTCCAGATGGGATGATTGAGGCTCAGTCAGAGCCGGGCAGGGTCGTATAGCATGAGGTGGGGCTGCTGCCAAGGGTGGATGTGGTATAGCCTGTGGGTGGGGTCTACCAGAGCATGGCTAGTCCTTTAGTAGGCATCGAGCCATGCTGCACAGGGGTCCTGGGGGGAGGCTCTTGAGGCATGGTGGGCCCCTTGGAGAGAGGGCTAGTTCTGCCTGGGGATGACAGGAGGCTCTTCCCAACTGGAAGGGTGACAGAGCATCAGCCAGACTGAGGGAAGGGGACCCATGTGGGACCTCAGTTCTCACTTCCAGCTTCTGATCTGTATCTGGAGTAGATGGTTTCAGGTCTGATTCTTATAAGTTCTACAGATGGATTAAATCACAAATCCGTTTCTCTGTTTTCAAGAAGGCAGATTTTAGTAACAAATCTGAGGCTATTTATCTGATTGCAACACTGATGTGTACAGATATATTTTTATGATTATTTTATGATACCTCCAGTGAACATAAGCTAATCAACTTCAGAAGGTAAAGTCTGGGTATAATTTTCATTGCCTTCTTCTTTTTTTTTTTTTTTTTGCAGTTTTTGGCTGGGGGTTGGGTTGAACCCACCATCTCCGGCATATGGGACCAGGGCCCTACTCCTTTGAGCCACAGGCGCCACCCTTCGTTGCCTTTTTCTAAACTTATTTAAGATTCAGAAGAGGAAAAGTGTGAACCTGTGACTTCTAGGCATAGGGGGTCTGAGTGTGGGAGGTCTCAGCCTCACCCAGAGGACCGTGGGGCCTAACTACACTGACTTTTGTGTCTTGAATGCAGTGGCCTCGTGGTCTATGCAGATGGACCCCTGAACTTGGACCGCAAGGTGGAAGACATGTCTGAGCTGTTCCGGCCCTTCCACACCTTGCTGCGGAAAATAAGGTGGGAGGATGGGGGAGGGAAGGGGAGGGGAGGGGAAAGGAGAGGGGTCACCCACCAGTGTTCTGCCACCTCCATGTCTTCCCTCCCGTAGGAAAGGGTGGCAGGTTAATGCTCCTTGTGGTTGTAAATGGCACCGTGGTATTGTCAAGCCCAGCCTGGCTTTGCTCCACCTGGGTGTCACATGGGGCTGGGAGCTCTTGCCCGGGGAGCTTCTGGCAGTGGAGCTTCTAGCAGTGGAGCTGCAGTGGGTCCTGACGTGGTCTGATGTGCACCCTTTGTTCACTGAGATCTGGAGTTTACCTGTTACAGGCAGGGCTGCTCATACTTGTGGCTTTGTCTTCCATTACTGATGTGTGTTTGCGTCAACATGTTGGAGCTCCCCTTGAACCCTACACCTTTCTTCAGACAGATACTTTCCTGGGTCACTCTGCACTGGCAGAGCCCTGCTACGGCCACATGGACGATGGGGCAGCTGAGGGCTGGGGTCCTTGAGTGACTCCCTGGCCACGTGGCCTTGGGCCCCTGGGTATGTTCTACCATGGCTCCTGGTCTCAGGGACCAGGTTCCCTTTGGGCACAAAGAAAACACAGAACTCTGCCCCATGTGGAGTCAGAGATGGTGTGGATCCAGTGGAAAGTGACCCAGAATGGAGTTTTGAGGTCTTGGTCCCTCAGCAAGGTGGCCCTTGGCAGGTCTGTGGGCCCTGGGGTGTGGCCCCAAGGTGATGTCTGGGAGAGGAAATGAGAAGGATGACCTGGAGCTGGGCAGGAAGGCACAGGGTGTCCTGGGCAGATTGCAAAGAAGGGCATGTGTTGTGGAGGGCAAGGGGAGGGGACATGTAGGGCTGGTGGGGGGCCCAGACTGTGCATAGTGATCCCCACAGCCTTGTCCACCCACAGCAGCAATGAAGACAAAGGTGGGGCTGAGTGGCCTGGAGCAGAGTGTTCTACAGGTACAGCGGGGAGGCCCGGGATTGTGGGCCAGATGGGGAGCAGCTCCAGTCGTGTCTGAGGGGACCGAGCTTTCTCTATCAAGGATGAGCAGTTTGAAATCCTAGATGCTGTATAATATCATTCATCAAATATTATCCCCAAAGCTGGTGTGGGTGGGAGGAAACTGCAGCCCACTTTGGGCCCTGACATCGGAACTCAGGTGTACAGCCCCAGGCTGGCCCTGCCTGCTGCCTCCGGGGAACTGGAATCGCTGAGGGTCCTCCCCACACGTGGGGGATAGTGAGGCTCTATAGGTGAGCCTGAGCCTCCTCTGAGGACGGTCCTCGGGATTACTCACTGCCACCCATGTTGACAAATAGGGCTTCAGAAGCTGCAGCCTCCATTGCAGGTCGAACACCACCCCTGGGAAAGAAAAGCCAGAAAGAAATACCTAAATAAAAGTACTTAAAAATGAATTTGGAGGACAGTGCCTGTGGCTCAAAAGGGTAGGGCACTGGCCCCATACGCCGGAGGTGATGGGTTCAAATCTAGCCCCGGCCAAAAACTGAAAAATAAATAAAATAAAATAAAATAAAATGAAGTTATTTTTAAAAAAAACTGCAAAAAAAAAAAAAAGAACTTGGATTGAGGCGAGGAGTTCCATGGACATCAGAGTGAGACCCTGTCCCTACACAAAATAGAAAACCTGGCTGGGGGCGGTGGCATGTATCTGTGGTCTCAGACTCAGGAGGCTGTGATGAGTTATGATTGTGCCACTGTGCTCCAGCCTGGGTGACAGGGCAAGACCTTGTCTCTAAAAAAAGAAAGAAAAAGTGAACTTGGAATCAGTTGTAGAATAATTAAAGGACATGATGAATTTCATGAGAGGATATTTTAATAAGTGAGTGCTGTCAAATACCAGACGTAACTGGACAGCTTCACACCTTCTCTCAAAATGTGGGCAAGACTTCTGTTCAGGACTGACAGGATGGGTCGGACCACTGAGGGAGATTCTCCCTCTGCAACAGTGAGAAAAAAACTGGCTACATATGAAAAATCACATTTAAGGGTAAATGAACTATGGAAATCAGGATTGGATGGACCAAAATTCCAGAGAGGGGAGGACCTCTGTGGGGTGACTGCCAGGCTCTGTAGCTGTTTTTCCCCAGGGAGCACGTGGCAGTTCCAGGCTTGTCTGGGGCTCGGGCTGCCCAGGCAGAGACTCTCCACTGGGGAAAGGCAACTGAATGCAAGAGGCTGGTGAAACAGGTCAGAAACTTGGAGCATTGAAGCAGCACACCTGAGCAGCAGGGAGCCCAGGCAGACCCTCCTGGAGGGCACAGAGAGGCTCTCTGAAGGTCTGGGGTGCTTAGGAGACATACAGGCCTCAAGCAGACTTCTAGTCACCACGGAGATGTTTGACAGATTCTGAAGCTACATGGCGCAGGGGACTGGAGAGGAAGTCCAGTCTCAGAGCTACAGTAACTAGACTGAAGGGGCAGCCCAGGGCCAACCTACTTAATTCGGAAGGGAAGGTCATAACGTACCCTGACGTCATCTCCTAATGCAGGAAAGGGGAAGGCCCTTGTGGTGGAAACATCATCTGTAGCCTTTATATCCAGTGTCTGTCATGCAGTCCAAAATCACTGAAAAGTAGAGGTAAGAAAATATGATTGCTAATTAAGAGTAAGAAAATTGATGCAGACCACACATGATCTAGATATTAGACACAAGGACCTGAACACAGTTAGGATCAATATGTTAAAGAAATAGAAAGGAAAAAATCAGGTAAGAGGGCAAGAACTTAAACAGAGAATTGGAATCTATAAAAAAGAGACAAATGACATTCTAGAGGTAAGAAAATTCACTACCTGGAAATAAGAACACAATGGATGGGTTAATAGCCAGTGGGACCCAGCAGGACATTGACGTAGTGAACTTGTGGACAGCTCAATAGAAGGGAGCCGAACTGAAGCACAGAGAGAAAAAGAATGGAAAAAACGAAAACCCAGAACCATGCATAACAGACAGATACAACATGCTCAAAATGTCTAACTTAGGGCCGGGTGCGGTGGCTCACGCCTGTAATCCCAGCACTGGGGAGGCTGAGGCAGGTGGATTGCCTGAGCTCACAGGCTGGAGACCAGCCTGAGCCAGAGCAAGATCCCATCTCTAAAAATAGCCGGGCGTTGTGGTGGGCACCTGTAGTCCCAGCTGCTTGGGAGGCTGAGGCAAGAGAATCACTTGAGCCCAAGAGTTTGAGGTGGCTGTGAGCCACAGCACTCTACCAAGGGTGACAAAGTGAGACTCTGTCTAAAAAAGGGTCTAACTTACATAATTGAGGTCTTAGAAGGAGAGAACAGAGAGGGCAGGCAAACCAATATTCAAAGAAGTCATGGCCAAGAATTTTCCAAATTCCCAAAAGATGAAAAATCTCTATCCACAGATTTAGCATGTTCCCAGGAGCCCCTCCCCCCCTCCCTCTCTCCCTCCCTCCCTTCTTCCCTTCCTCTCTCTCCTTTCTTCCCTCCCTCCCTTCTTCCCTCCCTCTCCCTCCCTTCTTCCCTCCCTCCCTTCCTTCCTCTCTTGCTCTCTTTCTCTTTGCAGAAATTGAAAAACTAATTCCAAAATCCATATGGAAATTCAAGGGACCTGGATAGCTAAGAACAAGAAGCTGAACATTATTTATCTCTTCTACTCTTTTTTTTTTTTTCTTGAGACAGAGTCTTACTCTGTCACCCGGGTAGAATTCTGTGGCCTGGGTTTAAGTGATCCTCCTGCCTCAACTGCAGAGAAGCTGGGACTACAGGTGCCTGCCACCATGCCTGGGTAATTCTTCTATTTTTAGTAGAGATGGGGTCTTGCTCTTGCTCCGGCTGTTCTCAAACTCCTGAGCTCAAGGGATCCCCCTGCCTTGGACTTCCAGAATGCTGTGATTAGAGGTGTGAACCATTGTGCCTGGCCAAAGGATGGACTTCTGACCCATTCAATAGAATATAGTCTAGAAACAACCAATACATATGTGCCCCCCTGATTTATAGAACAGTGGGGGATCGTTTTTTTCCCCCAATAAATGGGCTGAGATACCTGTATGAGAAAAATGTCTCATATGGATGTCATAAGTGTCTGGGTCTCTACCACAATCATATACAAAATCAATTCCATGTAGAATGCAGGTGTAAGAGTGAAAAGTAAAATAATAAAGCTTCTAAAGGCAAAAAATCAAGTAGAATTTGTGACACTGGAACAAAGATTTCTTTTTTTTTTTTTT